GAAAAGTTATTGCCTGGCTTGTCTTCAAGGAGCACTTTTTGTGTCCCTTCTTAAATGCTGAGAACCGACCATGTACACCGTGTTCTTACATTAATATACGTACGGCTGGTTTCTACCAATTCTTTTTAGATTAGGTCTAATACAAAAGTAAGTGGGGAGCAGAAAAATTTTTGGGAACAGGGATTCCCACAGTCAGCTGAATAGCTGATTCCAAAGGAGAGGTCTTGTGTCTCTGAGGTTTGCAGGATGGAAACTGGAAAAGAGCGATGCGGGTGGTCAAATGTCACCGTGTATGTACTGTGCCACAGAACTATACCTGATTTAATCTTGCCTATAATGCCTGCCTTTTGCTAGTAGTTGAAGAGAAAGCATTTTTCCAAGGCAAACTCTTCAGCTGTTAAATACATTCAAAATTTTCAAAAAGTAAAGTATCTCTCAGTTTGTTTATCATCTTCCCAGTCATTGGCTCTTACGGTGCTTTTGACGGGTGTAGGATAGGTTTATAATACCAAATCTTCTTCTACATGTATTTACAGGCTGAATCCATCCTGTGACTAAACTAACCAGGTAGGCTTTCAAGTTCCATGATAAGACAGGTTTTGCAGATTATTTTTTTTGTTTGTTTTTAAACCATTGGCTGTGGCTTTTTTTCTGAACCCTTCCCAGGAAGGCCTGGTGGAGAGGAGATGATTGTGTGTCATACCTGTATCAGAGAGTTGGGTGCTTCCAGGAATGCTGATAATGCCGAGCATTCTTTGTATGTCTTGCATGCCAAACCAAAGAAATGGGTCTCACACCTGCGGATTTCCTGAGCAGCTAACATAAAATATCACAGTGATCTTCCAGTTATATCCCTTGCTCTTTCTGTCCACCTGCAACCCCGAAGTGGGCTGATCTACAAAGGAGGAATTCCTAGTCAGAAGCTGCATCCTGAGCTGAGAACCTGGTCACGCCTTTGAAAACCAGAGGAAACAGTGGAGCAGTCACTCAGCACAGATGGGCACTGCTGTTACCTCCTGCCCTGTCGTTCAGACCGTAGCACCAACTTCTACGCTGGGGGACTTCTCCAAAAATGATGCACTGGAATTCTGAGGTCAAACCCAATGCTCCATTTCCCAGAGAAATGCCCTAACCACAAAACTATAGGCTATTTTGGGGGTTACACTACTGCCTGTCCTGCTCCAGAGCTGGATTGCTTTCAAGAATGCATGAGTTATAGGGCCAGAAGGTCGGTATGCAAGAGGGAGCCTGCCTTGGTAGATATTTTATGTTACACAGTAATTGGATACAAAGAAGAAATAAAGCTAAGGGCGGACACAGTGATCCTGGGTCTTCCCCTCTTAGCTGAGTGCCCTGACCTCTCCGGATTATAGAGCTGGATCTTGTCTCCTTGGCCAAGGATTTTTTGCACTCCTGGGTACCTGATAGCCCAGCTCCAGCATGACGGGTTTGATGACTTTATGAACTCGTACTTGATGCTAATTTCCTTATCTCAAAGAGATAAAAACAGCATGTGCAATGTAAATGCAGCTAGGCCTTGTTTGGTGTCTAGTCTAAGGTTAAGTTATTTTCTGCACCAGCTCATGCACTGGAAAAAAGGGGTTGGGAGGAACTGGCAGCAGCTGGCAATGACGTTTGAAGAAGCTGAACACTGTCACGGGGGACCTTCCACCGGCTCTGCACGGGGAGCCCCAGCAAGCGGGAATGGTGGGCCCAGGCTGGCACTGGTGCAACTTGTAGAGGCGTTGGTTTCTGGAGGCAGTTCTCGCTTGCTCGGTCTCAGCCACATGCTGTTCAATTCTGTGACATCTAAGTAGGACAGAACTGCCCTGTTCTTGCCAGAAGCCAGATTCTTCTCCAGTACGTTTTTGTGTTTCTTCTCATCCCGCTCTGTCTGCAGACAGACAGCATTCACCGTGTTGCTTTGCATTCAGACTGAGTTTACCAAAATGTTCTGTTTCTCTGAGAATACTGAGGTTTCTCTTCTCTTTGTATGTGAGCACCGAAAATATATGTAGTCCTTGGCATGTTGCTGGCACCAGGTGACCTTGTTTGCACCCTTACTTGCTTGAATAGGGGGTTTGTATGCCAGGGCTTAGAAAGGGGTGATTTGCCGGCTAGTAAGGGGCAACCCTGTGATTAGAAATTCCACGATCTGACAGGATGCACATTTGACCTGCTAGTGTAAAATAGATTATTATTCTATTATGTAAACATTCTAAGGTTCAGGTTTGATAAGGATCAATGACAGAAATAGGTGGTGTGTTCCTACCTGCCTGTAGAATTACTTGCTAAAATGTACTGCAGCGTTTGGTTTATAACCTTACAATAGTGGCCTTGATTAATAATGCTCTATTAGTTATAAACATAGACTTACTGAATAAATCCTACTTACTCTGTTGAATGGCTCTCCATGCCTACATAAAACTATTTCAGTAATTAGAAAGCTACTATAATATTTCTCTATATTGTAGACTTTGAGTTGTTAGCTCTCTGTCAGCTTTCCTGAATTCCTGCGTACGATTTCTACTTGACCCCATCCTTGTCATGAAAGGGAAATTATTTCAGCTTGCATTTTGTGATGAGAAAGGGCGGGTGTGGTAAGACTCAAAGAAAAGAAGAAGGAATGAGGGAAGGAGCACGTCTCTCCTTCTGATGTGCCTCTGGACCTGTACCGTCCTCTTCCCTGTCAGGATCAGAGAAATGAGACTGGAGAGGTGGTATCCCTGCTGAAAAGGATCAAACTCCCTTCCTGAAGGACAGTAGAATTATCACAATTGTTTGGTGGGCTTGCGTTTCAAGAGAAGAGTAGACGAGTACTCCTGAGTAGTGTTGGCGTTAGGCATCTTGTGGAGAGCTCACCTCTTTTTCTAGAAGGTGTAGCTTTGTAACTCCTGGGGTTTTTCCTCCCCTTTCTATATAAAACAGAAAGCAGCAGGGATCAGTTGTTTTATCTACTACTGAAATGCAGCCATCAGTGCAGAATAACATGAGAACTGTTTGAAAGGAAGCATGGAACACTATATTCAACTGAAACTAATTACCTGATTAGGTTTTGGCCTGGCTGTGTGGGTTGACATCCAATGGTCTTGGCGACAATACCTGTGAGCAAAGCCAAGTCTAGTCTTGCTTCATTTAAAGACTCTGGACAACATTTCTGGACTTGTGTGCTGAATGCTAAGCAGTGTGAAAATAGGCCACTGATTTAAAGTACCCATGGCTACAGTGGGTGTCAGTGGGCAGCTGGCATGGTTGCAGATGAATGAGCTTATTTGGGTTTTAGAAATACTGGCTTCCATTTGAAGGTGACTCTGTGTCAAGCACACAATCTGGTGAAATTTAACTCTGCATCAGGACATCCTCTGTTCACAGCTATAGGATTAGCACTTTCCTTTCCTTCAGCACTTCAAACTTCTCCCCTTAGAAATTTAGTCAAAGTCTGACACTGAGATCTCATAAACTTAGAAAAATCACCTAAAAGGATGTTATGCCACCTAGTCTGCTACAGTATTTCCTTCTCTTTATCTCCATAGGGGTTAAATACATTAGGTCTGCTTTGTTAGATTAGAAGTATTTGTTATTGCTGTTCTTGTCTTCTCTTGCACCTTTGCTGCAAACACTTTTTTGAGCTGTTGGTGCTTTTGTTTGGAAAAATGGCATGTTTTCATGTTAGGAATAGCTATGCAACATCTCAAGAGTCTATAGTGTTAGACATTTCTATATTTGATGGCATTTTTTTTGTCTTCCATCACTCTAAAGGAAAAAAAAACCCAAACGTTACTTGGAAGGATTTGAAGCTTTACTGGGAAGAGAGGGATGAGTCTCTCATCTGTACGCTATTACAAAAATACAGTCCATTAAGAACAAAGGTGAGCAGAGCACTTTTAGAAAGACTTGAAGTGTTCTTGCCTCTGAACAGGAAGCTTCGGGGCTGCACTCACTTCTGGCACCCTAGAGAGCCTCTGTTTTCCCTTCCCAGGGAGAAGGACATGAAATGAACTGTCAAATGAGTTGTGGCAGTTCACTGGTGAGCATTGACTTTATGAGGAAATTTAGTACGTCTACTCCGATATCGTGGAAGTGCATCGAGACGCATTATTAAAATGAATTGGACAAGTGGTTGATGAAAATCCAAGAGCTGGTAAGAGATGCTCTACAGAACAAGAAATCCTAATAGACAACCAAAAATATTTTTGCCAACTGGCTATTTTAGCTTAGCAACTGGCTTCTGCACTACGCTATTCCTTAACATCTAAAATAAATATTGAATTCTCTCCTGTTTACAAACCTTCTTAAACCATTTGCCTAAGAGATGTTGCAGTAATGAAGTTCTCAAAGTTGTGTTTAAGCATTTCCTCTTAATGCAAGTATAAATCCATCAAGTTTTCGGCCTCCCACAAAGACAACAAATACAAGGCTGTAAGTGCCATAAAAGCCCCAAGAAACTTCAGAAGCAATTTAAAAATAATAAAAATATGCTTTTGGACACCTCTCGCTACTTCTGTGTGGAACAAGGCTGGGCAGGGAATCGGGGGCTGGAGAGGCAGATGGGAGTTCACCTTGTATAACCTGGTATTCCCTTCCCCTCTCCCCTGCCGTCCCCAAATCAGCTGTCACAGTACTGGCAGGAGTCTCCTGAGCCTTCGCTAGCCAGGAGTTTGCCCAGCTGTTTGGCCCAGGGTTGCAGAGAGAAAGAGGAAACCTTTCTGGCTGAAGCTTCTGTAAAATCACTGCTTCGGCGATCGAAGCAGCAGTGTCCCTGTGGGGGAAAAGTGAGTAGTCGGAGAGCTTGGAGGGAAGCAATGTGACTTTCCACAGGGCCTGGCCTCTTCATGATAAATAATCACCCAAGAGCAGAGCTAATCTCCTAGGAAGAGTGGTGGGATTACAAAGACGGTATGATCTCCACGTCTAAAAGCAGGCATACAGTTCAACTCCATTACGATTCTGTGGTTTGCAAATGTGTCTCTCCTAACAGCTACTTGTGTTGCCGTTGCAGGATGATTTGGAAATTTGCCTTGTCCGTTTTTCTGATGGCAGCGCTGGTTCGAGTAACAGACACCAGGAAAAACCGTCCTGCAGGCGCCATTCCCTCCCCATACAAAGACGGCAGCAGCAACCACTCAGAGCGGAGGCAGCAGCTGAATAAGGAGGTGCTGGCCTCCAGCCAGGAGGCCCTGGTGGTCACCGAAAGGAAGTACCTCAAGAGCGACTGGTGCAAGACGCAGCCCCTGCGGCAGACTGTTAGCGAGGAGGGCTGCGTAAGCCGCACCATCATCAACCGCTTTTGCTATGGGCAGTGCAACTCCTTCTACATACCACGGCATGTGAAAAAGGAGGAGGAGTCCTTCCAGTCCTGTGCTTTCTGCAAGCCGCACAAGGTCACCTCTTCGACCGTGCAGCTGGAGTGCCCTGAGCTGGACCCACCTTTCCGACTCAAGAAAATTCAGAAGGTCAAGCAGTGCCGGTGCATGTCTGTGAATCTTAACAACTCAGGCAAACTGTGAGAGCAGGCGTGTAGCTACTGCTTGGTGTTGCCCCCATCAGATTTACTGCTGCCTCTCCCACTGAGCAGACTGTTTTGTTGCTTTGTTTCTTTTTCTTTTTTTTTTTTTTTTTGTTTTGTTTTCTTTCAGGAGGCATCTCTCCAGCAAGGAAAGGCTCCTTGTCGCTTGCCTACTGGAATAAAGCTTTTTAATGGGCTGTGTTAGGCACTTCACCATAAAATTTCATTGTATTTCCAATATCATCTGGTGGTTGAATCTTCTGGAGTGGAGCAGGCTCCCAGAAGTTGGGATTGATCATCTAAGTGACCAGTTGGCTGAATCCAGCATTAAATGTTTCCACTATGTGGAGTAAAGCCCTCTGCCCTACACTCCAGTCCCCTCCGCAAGATGAGAACGCCTTCCCCATGCTTTGGTCCGGAGCTTGCTGCTCCCACTTGGAAGTGCTGGGGCGCTGCCCAGGACTGGGGGATGCAGATGAGGGAGAGCAACGAGGAGTAACGTGCAAAAAAGCAAGCGAGACTCTCCGATGAGGCTCATCTCCTTAAGAGGACTTTAATAGTGCAATGACAGATGGTTCCGGGCTTCTTGTCTGAACAGCAGATAAGAATTGAGGGGGAGAGGGTGAGGCGCTGGGTCAGCCACCGTGACCACAGAGCAGACTGGGGGTGGGTTCTGATGCTGTTGTGGTTAGAGTATATAGAACACGTGGTCTCTGCAGCAGTGTTTATTTTGTAACCTAGCTATAGTAAACAGCTGTTTAAAGTATTATAGACCTAGCCATGTATATTTTTCTTGTGGCAGAATATACCAGAGATTAAAATGTGTTGAGTAAGAGACTTGGTTGCTGGGTCAGCTGCCTGGCTTAAAATGGACATGGTTTAACTAGGCTCTCGGTAGGTTTTTGTGTGTTAGATACGTGTGTGTTTCTTACTCCAAAAAGGACAACATCCATTTGTGACCTTATATTTATGCCTGCTCAGACTGGGGAAGGTGGGAGGGTAGTGGGAGAGGAGCTGAGAACACTTAAGGGAAGGATGTTTCACTTAAGTATAAAAGCACTGTCGCACAAAGGGCAAAATTTGGTCATTGCTGGACTGAATACAAAAGCTGCATCAGTGTCATCAGGTTTTGGGAGTGGTGTCTCTCCCATGATTGGAAACCATGTTAATGTGTAAGTGTTAAAGGACAAACCCATCAGGCAGTGCCGCTGGAATGGGTCACAGCTGTAGGAGCAGGGAGAGAGTAAGTTGTAATTGCTGCAGTACTGGTGGTCCACTCGATTTTTGAGTCCTACATAATCAGTGTTGGTGAACACTTGCAGTTCATTTTAAGTCATACTATGTTGTTTTTGAGTTGATGGAGTTTAGCATGTCCTGTATATCCCGTTTGTTCCAGTTCTGATCTGTATTAGTCCCAGCTGCATTAAAATTCTACGTCTCAAAACAAACCAGCCCCTTCCCCCAAACCAAACCCCGTGCGTGCTCAATTGTCTGAAGCTTACAAATTAAAAATGACACGCCGACTCCCTGATGCTTGTCTCGCAGCTCAGCATCTGCGTCTACTGAAACCGGCTTGCCGTGGGAGCCCTTTCCCACGCAGCCACTTCAAGGGGTTAACGTGTTCAGCACTCCCGACAGGCTGCTCTAAGAGGCTTTCGGGACTGAGCTCCACGAGAGCTCACCAAGCGGTTTACGGGGATTGGCACGGGCAGGATGAGGTTGGTCAGGTCTGTTAGCCCTATTACGTGAACGGCCGTGGCTTTTCTGATGTGATCTTTCAGCGTGTCAGTTCAGTGCCCGGGGAGGCTCCTCGCGGGCAGATTGCTTTAGAGGCTGGCGCTGCTGCGCTGCCAGCGTCGTGCCAGACACCGAATGGGCACCGTTCCGTCTAGGCTTGAGGGTATCGGGGCTGGGTTGCGGGGGGGGGGGGGAGGGGCGCAGGGGGGGGGGGGAAGAGGCAATAGCTAATAGTCTACTAAGAGTCCAGGGATCTTGGTCTCCACTTGAAAGAAGTGAACTGAAAGTCAGGCATTTTGGACTAGAGAGAGAAAAGCACCCTAGTAACTTCAGTTAAGAAAAATGTGCAAGAATTTTTATCTTTAAGCTATGCCCTGCCTGGGTTCTTCACCAGTTTGCAATATGAATATGCTGCAGCTTAAAGCTCCTTCTAGGAGCTGTGTTTATGTAAAAACTGAGTTGAGCTTGTAATGGTTAAAACTGTATTTAATTCTTGTTTTATAAATGAAAACAAAAATGAAGAAATGCTTTAAGTATAATGTAATTATTTTATAGGTCTACTATTAAATTATAGATTAAATAATAAAGCTGCTCTAGGGTTATATGGCATCCAGGTGTACGGGCTTTCCTTCAACACCTTGTGTCCAGCTGCTCTCTAATTGGTATATTCTCTGGCTTCCTTTTGACCCTACCAGATGCAGAAAAATGCTGGCTCACCCTGACAGCTTGGGAAAGCTTAGCTACTTCTTCCCTTGGCCCCCAAAAGTGCCGGCAAGGCAAGAGGGAAAAATAAATTGCGCTAATCCTAGATTCTGGAGTAGATTCTGCATGCACAAATTCTGTTTTTCTGGGTAACTGACAAGAAGACAACCAAAGCTCCACCACTGGCTGAACTGCTGGCATCATTTGTGGTAAGAGAAGTAACTATTACCCTGACCTAAGTGGTTTTGCTTAAAATATAGCTAGATCCTTATGTAACAGGCACCGAACTACTCATATGGAAAAAAAAGAAGTATAGCTTAAAATATAGGTGAGGTTTAATGGTTGCTATCAGCTCTTCAATGAGTACACTGTATGTCTCTCCAAAGGTAGCGTAGTGTTTTGGGTTTTTCTCTTTTTTTTTTTTCTTTCCAACTCAGAGAAAAAATAGTTGCAGAATAATCTTGAAGGAGAACTTCAGTGAGGAAAGGGAGTTCTCACATTGAGTCCTGGTGAACAACAAGCTCTCCATGAGCCAGCAAGGTGCCCTCATGGCTAAGAAGGCCAATGGTGCGCTGGGGTGCATTAAGAGTGTGGCCAGCAGGTCGAGGGAGGTTATCCTCCCCCTCTACTCTGCCCTGGTGAGTCCACATCTGGAGTTCTGTGTCCAGTACTGGGCTTCCCAGTTTAAGAAAGACAGGGAACTACTGGACAGAGTCCAGCAGAGGGCTACAAAGATGATTAGGGGACTGGACCATCTCTCATATGAGGAAAGGCTGAGAGAGCTGGGGCTGTTTAGCCTGGAGAAGGCTGAGAGGGGATCTGATCAATGCTTATAAATATCTAAAGGGCAGGTCTCAAGAGAATGGGGCCAGACTCTTTTCAGTGGGGCCCAGCAACAGGACAAGGGGCAATGGGCAGAAACTGGAACACAGGAGGTTCCATCTGAGTATGAGGAAAAACTTCTTCACCTTGAGGGTGACCGAGCACTGGAACAGCTTTCCCAGAGAGATTGTGGAGTCTCCTTCTTTGGAGATATTCAAACCCATCTGGATGCAATCCTGTGCAACCTGCTCTAGGTGAACCTGCTTTAGCAGGGGGGTTGGACTAGATTGTCACCAGAGGTACCTTCCAAGCCCTTCCATTCTGTGATTCTGTGAATAAGCGTCCTTGTGACCAGAAGAGATGCCTGTCATGGGTCTTGAAAGAAGCAGGAGCACCTAGATCACAAGTAGCAAGGGAGGGCTATGTCCTTTATGGCACTATAACTGACACCTGCAGGAACCCTTTGCTCTCTTCCCTTCCTCATCTCTTGCCCAAATCCCATCACAGTTCAGAAATTTAATGGGTTTCGGGACTTTTTTTTTTTTAAGTAGCAGTTGGTTTTGAGAATTACTGTTGCTGTGCTTTAGCTACCTAAGCATGGTCAGGGCCCTCTGTTCGGAACTCACAAGTGCCCCTGTCAGTCAGCTGAAAAGGAGCTCAGGCCACCATCTCTTCCAACGCCTCTCTCACATTTCCACCTGTCTCTTAGCCACTCTCCTGCTTTGCAGGTAGCTGCACTGCCCAGCACCCAGCTGAACCTCTGCTGTTCGTGGTACAGCCTAGACTCCAGTGATCCCAGCCTCTCGCTGCCGCACTGCTGAATCACCGTACCAGAGGCATACACTGTCATCCAAATATCTCCCTCCCCCTTGTGGAAGCAATCCAAAAGCAAGGCAAGTCTCTCCAGGTAGATGAAAAAAGCTTTAGGTCAGGTAGATCCAGTAGTTCTTAAAGTAGAGTGGTGTTTTGGGACAGGGGAAGGAGGGGAACAGTAAGTGTTCAGCTTCACTACCATGGAACTGCTGCGTTGGCAGGGCCCCAGTTTGGGGTGAGTGACAAATGAAGACCCCCAGTTTCTAAAAGCTTAAATTTGAGCTGGAGATAAATGAGAAAACAGTGCTGACTCAATGGAGACCCTTTATCTTCAGAAAGAAACCACCTTTTTGAGGCAATGGACTTACCATTGAATGCCTTTACAAGTAGGTTGGATGAACGTCAGGTACAGCACAGGTACAGACGGGTCTGTCGGAAGCATGAGAATGGCCTGGAAAACCTGTTCTGTAACGTGAATCCCACTTGATGGATGGGTGGCAGACCTGAATGGTGCGGGACGTGGTTTTCTGTCTTCCCCCTTTGCTCATCTGTTCACACTATCTCCAGAAAAAACTCATCTCCATCAGTTTTCACTTATTCTGTTCAGCTTAAATTTGGTGTAACTTAAGTAACTGACATAATGGACTTAGGACAAACTCGGCTTTGCTTATTAACCTGGAGTATGCAACAAAATAATTGCAGTGCAAAGACTTGCGATATCTTCTCTCAATGAAATTAATAACTTCTTCCAACTTTTTAGGCTGATCACTGAAAAATTGGGCAAGAAATAATGTCAGTCTATGGAAGATGTCACTAATTGTATTCCCGCTGCCAGTGTTGGTTAATACTTAACTAAGTTTTGGAAGTGCTTTGGGATGATGAAAGGTGCTACAAAAAAAGCTAACCACTACTGTGTCATGCACGTGA